GTGTATCACACTCGGTTTGTTTCTACACTCATATACACATACATACATACATACATACATACTGATGGCCCATTAGACGAGTATGACCATTGCTGACAAGTTAACGGTTTTGAATTTAGTGTTCTTCTTGTATTCGGGCAATTTCCAAGCTTGCTATTTAAGAGACATGGATTAATACTTTTACGAATTGAAAAATGCGCGTAAGTGAATGCAACGAATTTGAGAACGATTAGAATTCGAATTCGGCTCTCCCATTTCTCATACGGACCGATAAACATTACGCACCCTGCACATCCAAATGCCTATATTTCATATATGCAAGTGGTAAAATGGTTCAAATTCTGTCCGAAGTTGTTGCATTAAATTAAAACTAATATTCTTTGGAAAGGCATGAATCTTTTGGTAAAATAGCAGATCAGAGTAGGTTCTTCAGTCTTAGTAAGGCAACAATTGTAGAAGAAAACTCTAAATCTACCCACCCATCAACACAATTTTATAGCCCAGCGTGGCTGAGCTAGTTACGTTATTCCAAAATCCATTACAGGGATCTGAAGAAAGACGTTCGTCTTGTAGCAGGGGACTAAAAATATATATATTGAAATTTAAAACGGTGGTATTAAAAAAATTCTTGGCTCGATCATGAAGGAATATAACAAAAATAATTTTATGGTCATTTGGTCATATTGGGTCCGCCCGAGAAATTTTCAGCACTGACTCAGATACATACCTCGTCCCTATCTGTTTTTTTACTTCTATCTGTTCAGCAAATACAATCGCTTGCGAGCTGTGTGATATTCACATAAATAGAGCTTCGAGTTGAGATCTAGTTAGTCTATGTAAATCCCACCAATCACATTAGCCGTTTCTTCTGGCCTAAGCAGATCTTATTTGAAGGCACTAGTTTCATTTCTTTAAATAGAAGCATGTGTATCTGCGACGGGAAAACAACGATAGCGTTTTTGTTTTCTGTTTCCCATGGGAGTAGCAGTAATGTTACTTTTTGGAAAATGGACAAAACAAAAATTGCCATCTTTATTATTTCTTTGATTTTTCCAATCCTTCCGAGAAGCAGAAAGAACTTTCGTCAAAAAACACGTTTCTAACGTCTGTTCGGAATATTAACGAAATAGACAGCCATTTTGTTTTTATTCACATTTCTCTAAACTTCTTGCTTTACATCTGGACTAATTTATTTACCTTGCCGTCATGTCAAAGTCGTTCTCTCTATGTATTTATTAAGCTTAGCAAAACCATCAAGAGGCTGTAGATTGTATAGCGTCAGTCTGCTAAAGCTTTAAACTTTTTAAAAAACTTGTATTATTTTTACCTACGTTGAACAATCAACCAGTGACATTGCTAGGCAATACTGAACGATTTCAGTCCTCAAATAGTACACGCTTATTTTTTAGCGCGCGTGACTACAGGCGGCTTTGTAATAGTGTCTTACTTAAGAGTAAGTCTTCTATCCTTCTCTTCACTCAATTTGAGGTGTTAACTTCTTCTATTGATAAAAGAGAATGTGTTGCCCGTAAATTCTTTTCAACTTCTACTCTTCATTCATTCGGGGTATCTTTGACTTTCCATTTAGAACTGAGTCCCTATTCAAAAAATATACATATAACTCCGTCCACGGTTTCTTCTATTATCTCTAATAGATCCCCTCAAAGCATGTGAACTTGATGGTATCCCTGCAACAGTCCTTAATTAGCTCCCGAACTAGCTCCTGTTCTCTCTAAACTATACAATTATCGCCTCACTGATTCTTTCCTTCCTACTAGTTGAAAATTCTATTCTGTCTTTCCTGACTTTAAGAACTCAGCCTAAGTATCTCATCCTTTTTGATTATCTGATTTTTTTGCAAGATTAGTCTTTTCTGTACAGTTCTAAAGGCACTAATAAACTCTGAATTGGTTAAGCATCTAGGTCAGTTGCTGAAAGAGTCTAGAAGCTTTAAATAAGAATGGTGGAGCTCTGGCTGTTGGTTTGGATATCACGAAGGCATTTCACAGGGTTTGGCATAATGGTCTTCCTCATAAATTGAAAGATTATGGCAGTTCTGGACGAATTTTAAACTAATTCAGGAATGGTTTCTCAATTTTAACGCCTCTAATGTATTTAGAGATTCTTGATAAAATCCAAAGAAAAATCTGCAATATTATCAACCCTGACCTGGGATCTTGGCTTCAGTTCCTTTTCTATTGCCGTAATGTAGCTTCCTTGTTCCTTTTCTATAAATATTTTCATGGTAATTCATGGGCTTTAATCTATGGTATCCATAATTTATGAATTTAAGCGCAGTACTAGATTAGCGACAAGCTCTCATCATTTTCGAGTTGAAATGACCAGATGTAACCATAAGTTTAATGCTAACAGTTTCTTCTATCACACTTCCGGCGTGTGAAACTCTCTTCCGGCTTCTTGCTTCGCACTCAACTTTGATATTTAAAAATTTAAGCGCTATGTCAATCGTTATCTACTGAATTCTTCGCAGATACCTCTCCCGAGTAGGATCCACTATAGAGGAGAACATGACTAAAGACTGTGTATACGCCATCCCGTGCAGCTGCGGAAAGCAATATAAAGGGGAGATAGGCCGCCCCCTTAAGGTAAGGCTTCAAGAACGCCAAAAAGCTGAAACACGAGGGGAAGTGGAAAAATTAAGCGTGGCTGACCATATATGGAGAGAAAAAGGAGATCACTGCCCTCTGTGGGATCAGGTTTAGATCATAGACAAAGAACACCACTGGAAAATTCGTAAACTTAAGGAATCACTAGGCCATAAAAAACCCCTGAGTCGATCAAGCATAGAAATGACTACAATATGGGAACCAGTAATAAGGAGTGCCTGAGAAAAGCAATAGTAACAGCAAAAATTGCAATATGAGCACTGGTAAAAAAAAATGTTGCTGAAGATATTAAGTCCTAGAAAGGACACAGTGGATAAAGGCGTTAGTTAGATCAGAGACAGGACCCAGAGAGTGTGAGTTCAATACCCGGTTAAGTCAGTGGAGAACTTGGAGAGAGGAATTAACAAGAGATAACTGATAACTGACATCCATTAGACATGCCACGTGGAACTAGAACAGTCTACCCCAGTGAGCGAAATAAAGGGACCAGTTCGACATTCCAACCACTTGTAGAAGGCCGGAGTGTACAACGGCCGAAACGTTGTGATAAATATAGCAACAAAGATGAGGATGATAGTCCGAACAATGTAAATAGTGTTTTAATTCTTGTTCTTTTATTTTTCTCTCTCCATAATAGTATTTTATTTTTTCTCATATTCTCTCATACTCAGTAACCCTCTGCGTGTTAGTGGCTTTATTGCCTTGCTTTTTGTATGCGGCGCAGTCAGTTTTCGCCATTGGATCAATGCTCTTTCAACCTGAACGACCACACAGTATTGCGCAACATATTAAAGCACGATGAACAATCGCGTGCATACAATAGGGTTTCCGGAGGTTGGATGACGGGAACACCTCATCCGCCACACGCTGTTTGGTGAGTATCCCCGTATCGGGTAGATTTGAAATTTACATACATATATATATATATATATATATATATATATATATATATATATATATATATAGATATATATATATAAATATAACGTCATCCACAGACAGACTGTTTCGCTGTTTCACAGCTCATCAGTGTGGCTAGACATCCGGTTGCCTCTAGCTAGGATCGAAACCCGACTGAATTGGTGTCAGTCGGAGATTCAAACCATTAAGCCGTCGGCGCACGGTAGGGATGAAAGTGAATTTTTTAGCGTATTTATTTTTACAAACACGCCCAGTGACCGACAGTGACTCAATTTGCATCTGCGAAGAGTCTCGATCGTCATATATATATATATATATATATATATATATATATCATCATATATATATATATATATATATATATATATATATATATATATCGTCATACCCAAGAAGGGATTTGATGGGAAGATACACACACACACACACACACATATATATATATATATATATATATATATATATATATATATATATATATATATATATCACTTGTCAGAGTCCCAGCTATGGGTGGGCAAATATTTAACCCCAAACTGGGTTCAAAAATTGAATTAACTGAAAAAAAATTCGACTAAAATTACCAGAAATGCATTCACATAGAAAAAAAATAACAGCAATACATTTTTTTTAAATTACCAGAAATACATTTTTGTAAAATAATTTACTAATATTAGCAAGAAAATTCAATTTCTGCATTAAATGACCCATAAGGATGTTGATGTGCCACTGAACAAACAAACTCCTATCAGATCCAAATTTGATTTAATGCTTTCATGTTTCCCAATTTAACAATAAATGAACAGAACATAAAAATATGTTTCTTATACTGTCCGCTAGGTGTCGCTACCGAATGCTCAAAATTTATGCGAATGCAGGTCGTGTTTGGAAGTGACTGTTATTAAACATGATATTTTCTTAAAGGAAAACTTAAGATTAAAAATGTTACTTTACAGGAAAATGTCCACCCAGATAGCAGTGCTAAGAATTTCGATGATTTAAATTCTTCATAGGAAAATAATGGTGGCGACAAGTGACAGTATAAAAATATATTAGGTGAGGCACATATTTATTATAACGATAGTGACTCATGTGGCAATAAAAAAACACACTGATTTTATGATTATATTAATCCTAATTATTACAATATATAACGACCAACGAGTTTTGATTTTAATTTTTGATAGTATCGTAAATGAAAGACTGTTTAATTTAATTTGAACTGTTATCAAGGTTAGCAGGCGAATTGTTCTCTTCTAGTTTAAGAGGAGTAATGGATACCGGCTCGGATTGAGGAATCGGAGTGCCGAGTTCGAATTCCAGTCGAATCCATTACATTCACTTACGTGCTAATACCCTTGGGAAAGGTATGAATCCTCTTCTTCTCCCCCCAGCTATGGGTAAATAGCAGGACATACCGGGTTCTATAGCCTTGGATAGCAACTGGTCTAC